ATCACTAATCATCAGAGAAATGCAAATCAAAACCACCATGGATACCCTTTCAAACCAGTCAGAATGACTATTATTAAAAAGTTAAAAAAACAACAGATGCTGGTAAGGCTGTGGAGAAAAAGGGGATGCTTATACACTGTTGATGGGAACGTAAACTGGTTTGGCCACTGTAGAAAGTGGTTTGGAGATTTCTCAAAGTTCTTGAAACAGAACTATCATTTGACCAAGTAATCCCCTTACTGGGTATATATCCAAAGGAAAAATAAATCGTTCTACCAAGAAGACATATGCCCTTGTATATCTGTATATCTATTGCAGCACTATTCACCATTGCAAAAATATGGAATCAACCTAGGTGCACATCAACAGTGGATTGAATAAAGAAAAGATGGTACATATACACCATGGCATATCACACAACCATAAAAAGGAATAAAATCGTGCTCTTTGCAGCAACATGGATGTAGCCATTATCCTAACTGAAAACCAAATACTGCATGTTCTCACTTGTAAGCGGGAGCTAAACATTGAGTACACATGGACATAAAGATGAGAACAATAGACAATGAGGGCTTTTGTGGGTGGAGAAAGAGATGGGGGCAAGGACTGAAACACTGCCTACAGGGTACTATGCTCAGTACCTGGATAATGAGATCAACCATACCTAAACCTCAGCATCATGTAACAAACCTGCACATGTATGCCCGGAATCTAAAATTAAAGTTGGAATTATTTTTTAAAAACCTACTTGTGTGTTATTATTTTTACATATTGATGGATTCGATGTTCCAACATTTTGTTGAGGATTTTGTGTCTATATTTATGAGAAGAAAACTTTAGCAAGCCATTTACCATTTCTGAATTTCAGGTTCCTCTGTTCTAAAGTAAATTTTGTTGCCCTTAATTTACAGAGTAATTGTAGAGACAAAATAGGGACCAGCTAAATGATGACATGCTTTGTAATGTGTAAAGCACTACATAAAGGCAAGGAATGAGAAGGGCTTGTTCAGTCTTTGTGCTGTCTCCCCAGCTACATAATTTGTCCCTCCTTTCTGCCTTCTTAGGTGTAGTGCTATTTGCTTTCATGGAAAAGAACTTATGGAAGTGATAATATGCATGCACTTCTTAGAAAACTTGGCACATTAAGTCAGGTCATCCAATATCACAAATTAGTGTAGAGGTTTTTTTTCCCCAATTACTTTGGAACTCTTCTAAGACCAGGAATAATACTCCCAAATGAATAGGGAATTCTGTGGCCCAGCCTAACCTTTAGAATACTGTGTCACTGCTGATGCAGAAAACCTACCGAAAGGTAAGAGAAAGTCAAAGACAAATACTTTAATGTGGTACCTTGTCTGGCTCCCAACAGGGAAAAACTTGGTCAATGTGACACTGGGCAGTGTCTCTCAGATACCTGCAGTCCAGTCTTTGTAGACAGAACTCACTTCTAGATCTTTATTCACATAGTTTATTCAAATTATCAAGAGCTAGGATTTGATTTGAGCCCAAGAAAGAGTTTAATCATCATGAGGGCATGGACACAGGTCAGTGTAATAGTGGAAACGGCTCACATTAAAAAAATCTCTGTCTTCCTTCTTTCACCAAAATCAAAGCTTTCAGGAAATCAATACAGAAAATAAACTCTTCTAAGACTTGCACCACTGCAGTTGATGGGCTCTAGAAGCTGCAGCAGCAGCAACCTTCGCTAATAACACTTCACTACAAGCTGTTTTAAAGAGTGGCAGAATGTATATTATATTTACCAGAGTTTGTACATTATTATTGTTCCGTCTCTCTCTGAAATAATTCTAAATTGGCACTTTGATGTCCATGCCAGTTCCTTTATTAACCTGACTGGGAGAACTGGTATACAATCTTTGCAACATCATTAACCACAGCATGACCAGAATTAAAAATCGGCTATCATTAGAAATAAAAATGATCAACAAAATAATGCAAGACATAAATTCTCAAGCTTATGGGATAAGGTAAAAGAAGATAAAAATATAAGTTAAATTTGCCAAAAGATTTGTTGGGATATGACTCTTTTGGGTGAAAATAAATAATCCTAAAGAAAACTGGGGCTTGCAAAAGAAAATTGAATTTAATATTATTATAATTGTTATTGTTTGGGGTAAAATGTTACTTCTTTTATCAGTTTCCTCTTGCTAGAAAAAAAACACTGTATCTTCTCAGCTTCATGATAAATCTGGTTTTATACTTCACTATGTATAAATAAGGGAATTTTGAGAAGAGGATATGAATTTTTTCTAACTTCCCTAGTTGATTAATACCTAGAATCTATATCTAGGTCTAAGTATCTTTCTTTTTAACAACATTTCTATCTTCTTATGTCTTCCACTTTTTATTAAATTTTACCCTTTTCCCTTGCAAATTGGCAAAAAAGTTACAACATCAACAAGCTTATTGGCCAGGTGCGGTGGCTCAGGCCTGTAATGCCAGCAATTTGGGAGTCTGAGGCACGCAGATCAGGAGGTCAAGAGATCGAGACCATCCTAACCAACATGGTGAAACCCCATCTTTAAAATAATAATAATAATAATGACAATAAAAGAACAAGTTTATCAAAATTATCTTTGAGAAACCAAGACCCAACAGGGAGGCAGAGTGATTAAATTGATTGATCAGAGTTTGACAGAAGAAGGGAAGTTTCCAGATTCACCTCATACGAGAATGCCAACCAACATGGCCATTCCTAAGAAATATTTTGCAAAAAATTTCTTTTTAAAAGCCCTGTCTTAATGCGTAGTAACTTGGTCATTTTTTGGTTATAAACAGTAGAATGACTTCTTCATTACAAAAGAGTGTGAAAACTACATGCTCTGATGCCAACTCCCTTGTAAAGCAATGTCATGTTGGAGGAGGGAACCATCATTGTTCAAGGGAGCCAGGTATATGTGGTTGTGGGGAGCCTTTGTCAGGCCCACAATGAGTTTCTTGTTAGGTGTGAGGGGGTTCAGGCAGATCGTGACAATACACAAAGTACAGAGTGAGTAAGAGGCAAAGTGAGCACAACATTTTTTTGTACTCTTGATTAGAACTACAAAAACTGTGACAGAACGTGCAACTAAGGTTTTAAAATTCAAGTAAGTTGGAAAGAGTTCAAAGGAAAACAACAAGTTGATAAAGGGTTTATATGTCAGCCTCTAAATAAAGGGTGCAGAGTGCTGGGAATGTTCACTTGAAAGGAAAAATAAAACTGAAATGAGGCATAACAGTCTCTAAACACGTAAGAGGATGTTAGAGAGAAATCTCAATTACTCTTATTAGCTATTAATGGGATTAAGCTTTGGGAAAGTCATAAAATGTATAATATTTGAAAATCATTCTCTTCTACAGACTCAAAAGTCAAAAAATAACTTCTGTGGCTCTCCAATCAAATTACCAAAGTTAGAAGCTACACATACAGTGTTGGTTGTTTTCAACACATATGTGATGAAGAATATTTACATTTATGCCTCATGCCTAAATAACCTATTTGAATAAACAGGCATTGTGTTGATAAAAACCACATTTTGCAGAAAGGAGTAATACAAATTAATCATCCATGGGACTGACTTAAAATCTTAAAGAAGCATCGATCATTAAAAATGAGGCAAGTACATTGATATATTAGTATAAATCAATGAAAAGATGATTAAGAAATAAGAATAAATGAAATAGGCTGGAAACCATAGGATCTTGAGTACCCCCATAAAGAACAAAAGAAGTTTATTCATTGTAGAGAAGAGAACCCTTTATAAATTCACTAAGGTGACTTAAAAGTTAATGATGCAAAAATCTTAAGACCTTTGCAAGAGTTCTCAAGCCTGGTGATGGCTGTGAAAACCATGATGAGAAAACTGCACTAATTGTCTACACGTACTCTGGATTGTCGGGAAAGCCAAGAAAGATGAACAAACCACAATGAAACAACTGAAATGAATCTTTGAAGCCAAGCAGAAAGCGCATCAAAAAATTGATCTTAACAGATGTGTCAATCAGATTGGAAGTATCTAAACAAGTGCAAAATGAAACCATAAGAAAGTCACAAAGGAAAAACTAAAAATCAAAAAGTTTTGAAAATGCTACAGGATGCTATAGAAAGGAAAAGATATTAATACAGACCATTACAAAGGACAAGTCTGTAAAGCTGACCAAGATTACAAAGAAAATCTCTCTGGAGTGATAATGGTGGAAAAGGGAAACAAAGGTGTGAGGATATGGGCTCAGGGTGGGTAGGCAGGAAACTTTAAGCAAGCTCACCACATGCAGAGAATTAAAGAGAGGGTGGTTGACAGAAAAGAATAAAATGTTATTAGGGAATGTGTCTCTCTGTGCCAAGTGCTATCTCCTGAATCCAAACAAGTAGATGAGTGAGGGGAAGATTTGTAGTTGGATGAAGCCTTTAAAAGGTACATCCCTGAATCACAGAAATCAGGCCCTGGCAAATGCCTGTTGGGTGACGGAGTTCACTGTCTCACTGCACTGTTCCTCCCAGCAGGTGGCTGGCAAATGCTGTGTCCAGTTCGGTTCCAGGCCAGCAGGACAGTCTTGTTGTGCACAGCAGGCAACCTTTCAATTACTATATAAAAAACTGGACGTTAATACTCATGTATTAACCATGTTTGACAGACAAAATAGAAGTTTAGGTCCTTTGGAATAGTAGTGGAGAGTCTCTGGGAAAAGAGCTCAGGGAGACAGTGTATACTCATTGTGACTGGAAGTGAAGACAGATAAAAGGCTAAAAGCCAGGAGCAGGGGAAAATATGTGAAGGAATGGGAAGAACTAAGGGCTTGACAATAGGTGCCTTGGTGAAACTAAAGGTAGGTAGATGCTCAGTACAGCAGAAACCACTCAATCAACATTGATACTAACTGAAATGAAAGACTTAGGCATATAAAATCTAATCTGGGATGCTGATGAGTTCTATTATAGCTAGTCCATGTGCATTTAATATTGTTACAGAGAAAGTATCATAATATAGTGCTTACTGAAAATGATAGTGGGACAGAGTGGGATCCTGATGTATATTTGTAGAATTCCAGTTTTCTTCTGATACCAGTATCCACTTCTATTCTGCACAGAGAGAACACAGAAGGAACTGGTTACACAGTGCTCAAACAAAACTTAAGACAACAAATAAGAGAGGGCAGGCATTTCCAGTCTCTTATATAACTAGGGGCAGAATTTTCTGAGGAAGCTGGGAAGAAGCAAACATCTTAAAAATACTATTAATAGATAATCCCTGCTTCAAAGGCACTTTGAGCAACTGCAGCTTGAATGACTAAGAAAACCAACCAATAGTCATAAAAGCCCTGATAGAAGAAAGAGATCAGGAAAACCCAGAGGAAAAGAGAACTCAGATTTAAGAGTAACCCCTTGATTATATCTAGCTAAGAGTTTCACCATTTCCTTGGTGGCGAGGAGCACTGAAATGATCAGAATCTCTTTCAGAGTAAAGGGAAAGTAATTATTCATAACCATACAGTGTAGTACATGTGTAGTTCTCATGCCTTAAGGACACTTTTGTTGCCTTCACAATGAAGTCACCTTTTGCTGCAAATAAATATCTAAACTGGAGAGACTGATGATAGCAGTTAAAATCGTAATACGTAAAGGTGGAAGAGCTTACATGGGGTGAAGTTACAAGTTATGTAGCGACAAACAAACCATGACTAAACTCACAATCTTGCCAATGTGAGGGTTTTTAAGCAAAGGAGAGCATAGGTTTCTTGGGGCATTATTTTCACTTTTAGCTATATTAAAAATCACGTGAGAATAATTTAGAGACACAAAATTTCTCCAATTAGAATTGAGTTTGTAGCAGAATTCTTCTGTTGGTTATACCTTTATGTATTTATCTTGTGAGGTCTAATTGACCATTATTTGCCACACCTTTCCAGGAGACAATGATCACAGCCTATTGTTTGTTTTTGTTTTTTTGTTTATTTTGAGATGGAGTCTGGCTCTGTTGCCTAGGCTGGAGTGCAGTGGCACAATCTTGGCTCACTGCAACCTCCACCTCCCGGTGGAGCAATTTTCCTACAAACTCCACCTCAATTTTCCTACAAACTCCACCTCCTGAGTTCAAGCGATTCTCCTGCCTCAGCCTCCCTAGTAGCTGGGATTACAGACATGTACCACCATGCCCAGATAATTTTTGTATTTTTAGTAGAGATGGGGTTTTGCCATGTTGGCCAGGCTGGTCTCAAACTTCTGATCTGAGGTGATCAGCCAGCCTTGGCCTCCCAAGTGCTGGGATTACAGGAGTGAGCCACCACACCTGGCCTAATGCCAGTTGTCTTGACTCATACAGTCACAGCCTCTGTTCTTAGCTATAGACCATACTTGCTAGATAACGGGTTAAAAAAGAATCTAAATATGTGACTTAGTTTATGTATTTGTTAACTAGATATAAGAAATTGAATATTTCCTAAACTTGGAAAGCTGCAGTGAAGATTAACGGGAGCACTTTTAAATATAAAATCAGCAATCATAATAACTGAAATGGCAATGTGCCAAAATAAAACCAAAACCAAAAAGAATATTGTAACATTATATTTTTTAAAACTACAATGGAGAGAAAAATTTCTCTTTTATTTGTTTAAGGGAAGGGGTGTATTTCACCCTTAAAACCATGAATGTTTTCCCTGAGAGATGTTCCATGGCTCATTGATATAAGAGTCATTGAAATGTAAAGGCAGCATCATGATTCGATGTTCTTCACTTTTGTACAGTGTTTATCAACTGCAGGTTTCTAGATATGCCCATTCATAACATCTTGAGTATTATAATATTAGGCAACACAGAATCCAATGGCTTTTGACTGGGAATTCATCCTCAATTGGAAAGTAAACATCTAAGATCAGATTAGTTGACAATTCTGATCTTTGGTATTCTATCACATTAAGTCATGGTACTATTTATATTCATTCAACAAACTTTTCATTTTATTAGTTTTCCCATTTATAAAGTCATCTAAAATTTATGAAAGGTGATGAAGAAAAGCATGTTTGCGCAAAGAACCAAAATGTTAATTAACAGTCTTCTTTTGTTCCCAAGAAATTTAAGGAGGATCACAAAAACAGATAATATCAAGATAATACAGGTTAGTGAGAAACCTGTAACAAAAAGAAAAGATAGGAACATTAAACAAATCCAAGAATGAAATAGAAGCAAACGCATGTACTATTAAGCCCAATCTTATTGTCAAAAATGGGTTTCAGATTAAGTTTCATGCTTTTTAGTGGCCAGTGCAAAGGAGTAAAAGTCCTCAGTTACAAGCATCTTAGAATCTTTATGATAATGTAAATATACTGTCTCAGAGAAGCACAATTATTCTTGATACTAAGACTACAAATAAGTTTCTCAAAGTGTCCTCATGGAAATTGTCCTGAACAGCATGCTTACTTCAATCCCAGGGACAAGTTTCACAGGGCTGTTCCTTAAAGCTCCCAGTGGAATCAATTTAGTGAAAGCAATTTTGTAGAGAAGATGAAGAGTGAGGGTCAGTTTACTGAGGTCTACTTTCTCAGTGCCATGAAGAGTCACAAAAAAATTGCTATATAAAGATATGAATTTTTGCCAATGAAATCTTATAATAGTAACAACTTCTATATACAAATGGCCAACAAGCATATGGAAAAATTCTCAACATCACTAATCATCAGGGAAATGCAAATCAAAACCACAATATGATAACATCTCACTTCTGCAAGAATGGCCATAATAAAAAAAAATAATAGATGTGGATGTGGTAAAAAGGGAAAAGTTTTACTCTCTTGGTGGTAATCTAAACTAGCACAACGACTGTGGAAAACAGTGTGGAGTTTCCTTAAAGAACTAAAAGTAGGTCTACCATTTGATCCATCAATCCCACTACTAGGTATCTACCCAGAGGAAAAGAAGTCATTATATAAAAAAGGTACTTGTACACGCATGTTTATATCAACACAATTTGCAGTTGCAAAAATATGGAACCAGCCCAAATTCCCCTCAATCAAGTAATGGATAAAGAAAATGTAGTATGTATATACATGTGTGTATGTGTGTGTATATAGATATATACACACACACACACATATATAGATGTATGTATATCTATAAACACAAATATATAAATGTGTGTATGTGTATATATATGTGTGTGCATATATATATACCCATATTCCATGGAATACTGCTTAGCCATATAAAGGAGCAAAATAATGGCATTCACAGCAACCTAGATGGCACTTATTACTCTAAGTGAAGTAACTCAGGAATGGAAAACCAAACACTGTATGTTCTCAGTCACAAGTGGGAGCTAAACTATGAGGACAAAAAGGCATAAGAATGATACAATGATCTTTGTGGACTGGTGCAGGGGAAGGATGGGAGGAGGTGAGGGATAAATGACTGCACATTGAATACAGTGTACACTGCTTGGGTGATGGGTGCACCAAAATCTCAGATTCACCACTAAAGAACTTATTCATGTAACCGAATACCACCTGTTCCCCCCAAACCTATTGAAATAAAAAAATTAATTAAAAACAACAAAACTAATAATATAACAGCTTCTTATGCATATGGATTATATTTAATATTCATTTTAAAATGGAAAGTACTATCACTGTCTTCTTGAAAATCTCAAATAGGAGTTTTTGGCTTTTATATATATCATCTGCTTTTAAAGAATTGTTCATAAACCCTTTAAAAAACAATAAACAGAGGTCTTGTGACTCTGCTTGATTAAAAAAAAATTCCCTTTTCCCAAATAAAGAGAATAAAGTTAGAATAAATAATCTTTAAGATATTTTACTTCCTACACTTAATGGTTTTAATGTATGTCACGATAATGGCTTGTTTTTAAAGCAAATAAACTTTCTTGTTTTCTCAGAAACCTCAAAAGGCAAAGCAAAAATCAGTGTATTGATCCCTACAATGGGATTTCAATGTTACTCTAGCTTCAGAAGGTTTCCAGTTACAGAGAAATATTTTAGTAATCATAAGGTTCAGACAGACCTTATGTGACCCTATTCATTCCTGACCAACAAATAGTTTTTGTTTAACTTCGAAATAAAGCAGACAAACCCTACAAGGTTACTTGTAATCATGACACCATTCTTAGAATTGCCATGTGCTGGGAACATGTCTTCTCGCTTCCTCCTTCTATCTACGGTATAAATCTGAAGGACTTTGTTATGGCTCTTATACTTGGCACATCTTAGGCCTATTTAGAACATCAACACCATCAATCACATAATATGGGGCCGACCAGCTGGATGAACCCTGGCTATCATTCAGGGGTTATTTGTCATCTGGGCATGTCTGTTTGGTATATAACACTCCTTCAGTCCCAGAACAATTTTCCCCCTCCAAAAATATTCTCTTTGACTCAGGAAACACGTGATTAATAAAGGACAAGGGTTTAAAGCCTGAGGTCAAGGCTAAAAGTCTTAACCAAACAAGTGCATTGCTTACTAACGTTTGCATCAACAGTCAAAAATTCCCTTGAAGAGCTCCCACACCGAAGAAACACACATCTATTCATAAATGCCATAAATTTCAGGGGACTTCAGTAACTATGATCATCTGGAGAGATTTATTTTAAAATAATGTTGTGCATCTAGAAATGTTTTGCTGCAGAATAATAACACTGCATCAAGCATTTAAAAGGTTCATTACAAACATTTACAATTTAATATAAAAAAATTAGGGTTGAGAAGACACAGTTTTACCAATATGATATGCAAAGGAAATTTGTACTATAACATTAGGACAATTTACATTAAAAATAAATTGTTTTCTAAGATGCCTATTTACACTAAAATGGATTTAAAAGCAATATTCCTTTCCTCATATTCTTTGGCTTGTTTATATGCCAGTCTACAATACTTTATAGTACTTTTCCATTAGACAGTTTTTCTTTTATACTTGTTTCCCTTTCTTTTACCAAAAGAAGCTTATTTCATGTTTATAGAATATTTTCTTCCTTCTAGGCAACTTATAGTTCCACCCTGTAATAGTATGTATCTGATATTATGAATTGTTTGGGTGTATGTATAATGACAGAAAAAAAGCAAATTTTAAAA